GGCTAAAAGGCCACAATCGAGACTTGTACATATCATTTTTTCAACTTGATATATAGGTATGCCTGGCCTATCTTCAGTTCGGCATATTTTTGCATCCCCCCCGTTAATGTTAACAGCATGAAAATTTATATTTTTATAAAGTAGACATTTCAGGGTATTGTATATGAGGTGTTTTCACATCCTTCCCCCAACCATTGTGTTAAACAAATTTCAGAGAACGTGCATGGTGGTAATTTTTTAATTCTGCTTTTTATGCACATGTCATCTGGTTTTGGCCAGCCAGTTATATGTTACTACCATAAAACTTTTTTTATGTGCAGGTATCAAATGCACCTTTAGCAGCATTCTCTAAACTAACTCCTGCAAAAAGAATCTAACTGGAGATTTGGGGGGAAGGAAACTGACTAAAATTTGCTGCTTTCAAAAGAAAAAAAAACTGTGGAAAGGGGTGTCTGTCCTTTTCCCTTTTTTATAACAGACCCAGCAACATTTCAGGGGATTTGTTTTTTTTGCAGTTGGCGGTATCTTAAAAATAAAATGTCTGGACTCCTCTGGCACCGTTGTTGGAACTTGACCATCTCCATAAATTATCGTGGAAATCAGCTTGAACTAAAATTGGAGAAAGGTGGTTGTTTCTGGATTCATTTTTTTTAAAGAGTAAAAATGAATTATGTGTTGCTACTTGCATCAGGTAAATAGACACCTTTTTATACCAGGCTTTTGTCTTTCTTAAGATAAGATATGGCTGCATCAGCTGATCAGCCAAATCAACACCCCCCATGTGCCTGTTATAAGCCCTGATGCACACCGGTTTTGTCTGTACCCTGCCTCGGACAGTGACGTCTGACATGCTTTTGCCATGGATGGTGGTTAGTATATTAACATCCTTCCTGTCCTTAAATTTTATTGCAAGCACTTTAGCTTTGTGCAGACCTTTACATTCACTTTTTTTTTATTTGGCCTCTATAAAAGGTCTGGGGAAATCCTTGGCATATCTTCTCACACTGCCACAGGCCAGTATCTAGAAACCCTAAAGAGTTTGAAACAAACGGACAATGCTATAAAAATTGTCCACATAAAGGTGGTAACCCTTATTGAACAAGGGGATCAGTAAGTCAAAAACAAGTTTCCCGCTTGTCCCCAGAGAGTCAGTACAGCCAGGAGGGTCCAGTTGACCATCTTTCCCCTCATATATACGAAAGGATAGCCACTTTCGCTCTCGCACAGTTTGTAGAATTTTACGCCATACCTAAAGCGCTTTGAGAGGATGTATTGTTTGAATCCTAATATCCCTTTATATTTCATTAACAATTCATCAATAGATACATTTTTTTGAGGAGTATAAACTTCAGTAAATTTTGCTGAAGATGGTCTACCAGTGGGTGTATTTTATGAAGCCTATCATATTGGGTGTGATCTCTGGGGTGACAGAGGGTATTGTCATTGAAATGTAAGTATCTCAGCAGCAGCTCAAATCTTGTTCTAGACATGGTTTGAGAGTACACTGGACTAGAACAGATTGGGTTGGTGCTCCAGTAAGAGCAAATTGATGGCTTCTTTATAATCCCCATGATAATTGTAAGAGCCCAGAATTTTTTAAGTTCAGCGACATCTGTGGGATGCCAAACACACTCCACCCTGACTGCATAGCTATCTGGATTGGTATCAATAAATTGGGTAGCATATAAATTAGTCTGGGGAGCAATCTCCTCCCAGATGGTATCCCCTAAAAATAGCTCCATATATTGCATAGGGGAGAAGTCATCCACATTGACATTAATGCCTGTGTTGGCACTAAAAGGGGTGATTTGGGGCTCAGCTAAATGTGGAGAAACCCGTTCCTCCTCCACATTCGGCGTAGCAAAGAAAGCACAGCTTCTTTTTGCAGCCGGCTCACACACAGATGACATGTCAGTAGATGTGTCAGAAAACTGACCTGGGTCAAAATCGGACGCAGTGTCAGTGGCGTCAGATTTTGACCAACACAGAGTTACTAACACACAATTTTTTTTATTTTATACTACAAACAGACTAAAACTGATAAAAACAGACTAAATGAGACTAAAACTTCCGTTAGCAGCAATCTGTAAACTAACTCCTGCAAAAAGAAAACTGGAGATTTGGGGGAAGGATACTGACTAACAGAAATTAGCTGCTTTCAAAATAAACAAAAAAAATAAATCAGGAACAAGTATTATAAAAATGTATTTTCTGTGTGGTAGACCTTAAAACATGCTCCAATACACAGTCCAGGTTTTGTAGGGCAATCGGGACAGTGAAAAGGGGTGTCTGTCCTTTTCCCTTTTTTATAACAGACCCGGCAAAGTTTCTGGGGATTTCTTTCTTTTTGGTGTTGGCGGTATCTTAAAAATAAAATGTCTAGACTCCTCTTGCACCGTTGTTGGAACTTGACCATCTCCATAAATTATTGTGGAAATCAGCTTTCTTCCTGGATTCATATTTTTAAAGAGTAAAAATGAATTATGTGTTGCTACTTGCAACAGGTAGATAGCCACCTTTTTATACCAGGCTTTTGTCTTTCTTAAGATAAGATATGGCTGCATCAGCTGATCAGCCAAATCAACACCCCCCATGTGCCTGTTATAAGCCCTGACGCAAACCGGTTTTGTCTGTACCCTGCCTCGAACAGTGACGTCTGACATGCCTTCGTTATGGATGGTTGTTAGCATGTGAACATCCTTCCTGTCCTTAAATTTTAGCGCAAGCAGTTCAGCTTTGCGCAAAGCTTTGCATTCACCTTTTTTTAATTTGGCCTCTATGAGAGGTCTGGGGAAATCCTTGGCATTTCTTCTTACAGTGCCGCAGGCCAGTGTCTGCAAACTATAAAGAATTTTAAACAAGTGGACACTGCTGTAAAAATTGTCCACATAAAGGTGGTAACCCTTATTGAACAAGGGGATCAGTAGGTCCCAAACAAGTTTCCCACTTGTCCCCAGAGAGTCAGGACAGCCAGGAGGGTTCAATTGAGCATCTTTCCCCTCATATACACGAAAAGCAAATGTGTAGCCAATTTCGCTCTCGCACAGTTTGTACACTTTAATGCCATACTTAGACCACTTTGAGGGGATATACTGTTTGAATCCTAATCTCCCTTTATATTTCATAAGGGATTCATCAATAGATACATTTTGTTAGGGAGTATAAACTTCAGAAAATCTGAATATGGTCTACCAGTGGGCGTATTTTATGAAGCCTATCATATTGGGGGTGATCTCTGGGGTGACAGAGCGTATTGTCGTTGAAATGTAAGTATCTCAGCAGCAGCTCATATCTTGGTCTAGGCATTGTTTGGGAGTATATAGGAGTCGAACAAATTGGGTTGGTGCTCCAGTAAGAGTGGATTGATGGCTTCTTTATTATCCCCATGAGCATGGTAAGAGCCCAGAATGTTTTAAGTTCAGAGACATCTCTGGGATGCCAAGCATGCTCCCTGACTGTATAGCTACCTGGATTGGTCTCAATAAATTGGCTAGCATATAAATTAGTCTGGGAAACAATCTCCTCCCAGATGGTATCCCCTAAAAATAACTCCATATATTGTATAGGGGAGAAGTCAACCACATTCACATTAATGCCTGCGTTGGCACTAAAAGGGGGGATGTTGGGCTCAGCTGACTGTGGAGGTACCCAGTCCTCCTCCACATTCGGCGTAGCAGGGGAAGCACAGCTTCTTTTAGCAGCTGGCTCACACACAGATGACATGTCACTAGACGTGCCGCTAAACTGACCTGGGTCAAAATCGGACGCAGTGTCAGTGGCGACAGAGTCTGACGCCAAGAAGGTATATACCTCCTCCAAGCTGTACATGTTTCACACTAACAGACTAAACTAAGAAAATACTAAACATAATAATTTTTTTTTTTTTTTTTTACACTAAAACAGTAATCCCTAAACTAACTCCTGTTAGAAGAATCTAATGGTGATTTGGGGGAAGGAAACTGACTGACTACGACAGACTACGACAAACTAAGACAGTCTAAGACACAGATTTTTTAAAATAAAGTTAACCCTTAAGGGCAAAAAAAAATACAGACAGTACAAATGCACTGTCTGTAACAGATCTGGCAGGGTTGGGGTTAAAAGGGAATTTTTATTAACTGCTGATACTTTTTAATAATCTCTGGAACACCTGCTGCAACAAACTATCACGATCTCTGTCTCTCTCCCCTCACAAAACGCTACAGAGGAGAGAGGGACAGAGATCAGTGTCAAAGTGAGTGTTTGTAACACCCACTTTGACATCAGCCAATTGTGAGCGATCGCGGATCGCTCACACGCCGCAATTGGCTGTTACTATCTGCCTGGGATGCCGGGCAGATAGTAACAACGGGATTTCGGCGGATCGCTCCTGCCGCCCGTTTTTCGTTAGGACGGTTCAGGACCGTCCTCGGTCGGCAACGCAAAAATGCCGAGGACGGTCCTGAACCGTTCTGAGTCCTGAAGGGGTTAAGGGTAGGTCTGCCTTGACGGACAATTTTCGTCGAGTGTCGTTAAGGGGTTAACATTTGCACCATCATAGTGTTTACAGCATATTTACTGAACTGTTATTCATGCTGACAGTGGAAACGTACCTAACCGCATGTCTGCGCTACATGCACGACCCTGACTGTATTGCAAACCCATGATTGGTTGATATTACCCCCGTTGATGTATACACGCCTAGACAACTGTGCCTTATATATACAATGTACTGCGCATTAAACCTTCGAATGCTTATTGATACTACATTTGTGTGGTACACATGGAGGGTGTATTTAGGTAATATTGCCCTAGCACTGTTCATTATTGGGAACAAATGCCAGAAGTTAGGATTTTGTAGTAGAGAGATTAATAAATTGTCGTAGAATATATGAATTAGACTACATGTTTTTAACATTTTATATATTAATTGGGGAATTAAACCAACAGTATTGAATTACTTGGGATTATTAAGTAATTAATTGAGATTTTTAAAATCAAGGTTTAGGTTTAGGAAAAGAGTTTGATCGGGAACTATCGCCACATGTATATGTTAAGATTATGTATAGACTCCGTCAGATAGTCACTTGCTCGAGAAAGTGTTTTAGTACTCATCCTGTCCAATCAACCGTTTATGTAGAGTGAATCCTTCTCTCAGCATATATTCTGACTTTAGTGGTGTTACTATGAAAAAGTTCTTAATACAAAGATTTTGATCACTTTTAATATTCAGACGATAGCAGCAGAAAATCTTAAGAATATACTGGTTACCAATGATAGATTGTTATGTAGGCCTTTGTTTTCTATGTGATATGTTTCCAGATTTTCCAATGGAGACTTCAGTCCAGTAGGTTCTTGACGTTTGCTTCTTGTAGCATAATAAATGATGATAAAACTTTAACATCTAGAACTTGATTGACAGTTATAAGTAGAAATGCGTTTTTGATAAATAAACTAGCAGTAGTGTAAAACAAGCTATAAAAGAATATTTCTTTTTAATTAAGTACAATAAGACATTTTGATCAACAATCAATGTATGATGATGACAAAGGCATACGAATTGTACAAAAAAAACATTTTATACAGCTCTATTCCTTTTTTTAAACACATAAATCCAAATTATACATTGAACGATAATTAAAAAATACATAAGCTCTTATGAAGACATCGAATAATAAATTATTATTTTCTACAAAGCTCACAGGAGAGCCTTTAAAGGCAAACTACTGAAATTAAATAAATTGTGCATAATAACATTTAAAATAGGTAGTGTATCCTCCAGTTATTTTGATGTTGACAGGCTTAATACTCTGATAACATATTAATAACATGTATTAATTTTGAGCAGTCAGTTTGTTTTTCTATGCAGTTACAGCTGAGGTAGCTTGAGTTCAATCATAGTAAATTAAATATTAACAAATTAATTTTGGTTGTAGTGCTGCTCGCAAAATTTTGTATAAGCAGAGGTTAAAGGTGATTGTCAGCCATTTTCTAGTGTGCGCATCACCTGATAAGAAACTTCAAGTCAAACAATCTGCTCCTGATAAGATGGCTGTCCATTTCAATTTCATTACATAATACATAGGAGAACTTCTATGACAAAGAAAAAATGCTGTCAAGGAATTTTAACACATATAACTAAATTATGCCCATTTTATTTTTGACAGAAAGTGTACATTTGCTTACAAAAAAAGATAAAATAAAATTCTCTGAAACTTGAGCAAATTTTGCATTTTTTAAAACTTTTCTCTTGCATCCTTCTTCCTTCCTTTCCATATTGGAGCATGATGTTTGATTCACGTTCTTCTAACAGGCTCCTATGAGTTAATATTTTTGCAAGATTAATCACTCATAAATAAATTGAAACAAACATTAAAATTCTTATTAACTAAATACCTGAATAAGATTTCATTTACTTAGCAGGTCATTCACATAGGTCTCAATTTAATTATATCGATTAAATCCAATCAATAATTATTGACTGTTTTTTGTCAATTCAAGCAGTCAAACTCGATAAACAGGTCTGCAGCTCAGTATAAAACCACCAATAAATGTTCATCAGAAGCACATTTATCAACCTTTTTTTTAATGACTAACACTTTTAGTCATTAAAAGAAATTCATAGAAATCCTATGGGGATCATTATCCCCCATGTTAGTATAAGGGGGATTTAACACCTCCTTAATGCCCCGCCCACCATTCTGTGGTTGGAAGCATGTCTATTAAATAGTGAGCAGTCACTGTAATAAATAAAACTATTGGGCATCTACCAATAGCAAGTCATTAATAAAAGGTCCACCCATGCCACAGACTGTGGGCTGTGAATTAAATGTCACTGTCCAGCCCCTGACACTCACCTATGGCCTATCAGTTGAAAGACTATTAAATAAAAAAATTAAAAAAGTTAGTGGAGTCTTAGTTTCCCCCACCCATAGCTGGAGAGTTGCAGATATAATTAAAATAAGCTGGGATGACTTAATGTCCCTCTCAGCCCACACCCATGGTGATGTACAGCAGGAACCATCTACCACATATGGTGGAAATGTGAAGGTTCACGTGATCATAATTGACACTTAGGCACCCAGACCACTTCAGCTCATTGAAGTTGTCTGGGTGCAGTTTCTCTATTGCGTTTAGTCCTGCAATGTAAAACTTTGCAGTTTTAGAGAAACAGCAATATTTACATTGCCGCACTAAGTAAGCCTCATGTGACTGTCTACAAGACAGCCACTAGAAGCATTTCCTGCTTGTTATGCAACTTTTGGTCGCCTAACTAATGCTGAATGTCCTCGCGCTCTGCATGAGAGGATCCAGCAAATCTTTCCTGTGGCGATGGCCCGCACATGCGTATAAGGTACCTCGTCAAATGACGTTGGAGGAGGCGGAGCACCAACCCAGTGCCGAGACTGCCAGTGGAATCGGGTAAGTAAATAAAGAGATTTTAACCCTTTCTGGCCAGAGGGAGTGCCGCAAGTGAGGGGTGGCAGAGGGAGCTATAGTGTTAGGAATACAGGTATTCCTAACACGATAGTTTCCCTTTATATTTTCCAATGTGAAATATAAGTTTCAATTTTAAACCGATATTTACCTTTAATGGCGGTAATGGAATCGATCTAGGGCACTAAATGTCTTATTGGGAGCCAATAAACATGATCGGCTCTAATTTATTCAAGGCTAAAGTCTTCCAGAACATATAGAGTGTGATTCACTAAAGTAAGAATTCAAAGAGAATTTTGAATTCATGGTAAAAATCGGAAACATTCTCTGTGCTCTGTGCTGTGCTTCCAATTCATCTAGTATGGCCTTAAATGTTAAATTCACTTTCAATCTCATATCAGGGAATTACCCTGATAGAAAGAATCAGGACATATAAAAGGCAACCAAGTTTTTTTCCCGCCACATGTAGTGCCTGTTTTCTTGTATTTAATTATGATATACATAAGGGCTTGAAATTTCAGATCCCACACCACTAGCCCGGCCTTAAAAGTCACTTGCCACTACAATATTGGAGGGTCCATGTCAGGGGTTAATCCCTTATGCATTATCTATGTCTAGTGAGATAAGAGACTGGACATCTCCTTTTAACAAGGCACTTCATTTTAATAATGAGGTCCAGGAGACTGGTAATCCCCAAGGCCCCTTTTTATATTACTCTCCACTCTGCAGCCTTTCATTGGAGAAAGAAAAAAGAAAGAGACCACTCAGTAGATATTTCCTGTTTTGTATGCAGGTCCCAGGGTCCACACAATTTTTAAATTCAGTTATTTAATTATTTAAATGTAGTGTGGAAGCTAGTAATTAGGTTTACCTTGCAACATGCTAAAGTCTCAAGGACCTTAGCATGTCTTATTTTTTTACTATTTGTACTAACTATGAAGTGTCACTGTTTGTAGCTATAATTTACATGCTTAGGTCTACTATTTCATTTTCTTTCCCTTTCTACTCAGTGAGCTCACTTCTGGTTGGAAGATAACCTGTGGCGTGAGATGGTTAACAGCATAGATATTTAAATAGAAGTCCAAGTGTATCTGATTTCAGCAGCGACATGACTTTTTACGGCACTATGTGAATTTTCATGAATATTTCACATCTTCAAAGTCTCCCATGCAAAAATATGTTACTGGAACCCCTAATACATTATAGATGTTGCAGAAAATACTGGTGTGCATTTTTATGTTTATTTTTCAGTTTATGTAGTGCCTGTATAGCCCTGATTAGTTGTCTGAAATATTAACAATTTTTCTACAATATTTAATTGTTAAATGGTTAAAAGCAGCCCACTGTAGTGACTATGATGCTAGGAGTACCCTGGCGCTGTTCCCTGGTAATGGAACAAACTATTTTTGCAATGGATTGCCTCTTACTTGGAGTGCCACATCTGGCTTCTGCAGATATGGATCATTCATTGGCTAAGAACATCAACTTAGGACTCTTAGCAAATGAATGACCTTCTCTGGATGGATTATGTACAGACGTGACAGTGACCAGCCTGGGACCCTTGTTTCAGGTGATGACGCTGCTAGAAGTGAAGTTAGACACCTGGCAGCAATATAAAATCGGTAAGTATTTGCAATACTTATTATAATGAAATGCTGCATTATAAGGTCCTTGCACCATAACCACATCAAATAATTGATGTGGTCATGGCGCTTGGATTAACCCTTTAATAGCCTGGTGTGAAACAAATTAATCAGATTCGTAAAAAACAAATTTATCACAATCAAGTTACGTATCAAAAAATAAATTGAGCTAAGAAAAGCTATGCCTTTATAAACATAAAGACAAATGGTTCCTGCATATTTTCTAACACCATAGGGAACATCAAGGCCAAAACAAGTGTTCTGATTCCTCCCCCGCCCCCTCCCCAAGTTTAAATTTGATCTCAACACGTACCAGACTGAAGTACAGGCTGGAATTGACCAGCCATGCAGATTTCCTCCTGTTTCTGGCGAACAATTCTCATGATAGCTTGTGAAAGCCCTCTTGGATTACGGGAGAATATAATAGAATATCCATCATCACATGTTCCATCATCTTTAAGAGTGCGGCAGGCATATGTTATTGCATAGTTTTCATAATCTGTGTCAATTACCCAATAGCTGTCACCTGTAAGAAGTAAACATGAATGCAATGTGACATTAAATCAAAGATATTGAAAGCTCCAGCACAAATAACTCTATACACTATTATAGTTGTTTTATAATCAACCTTTCAAGACTACCCAGTGCAATTTTGCATTGATGCTGACTGATATCCCATGAACACCATATTCATAAATAAAGGTGAGTAATTTGAAATTACTCCTCTAGACTTATTCACAAAAAGTTAAATTGTTTGGTATTTTGGCATTGAAATCTATGCACACTAATATTTACCCCGTCACATATAGTTTTGAGGAGCACATCCAAACAAGATAATACAAGGTCTTAAGTTAACAAGGTGTACAAGTAAGGGGTAAAATAGCACTGAGCTGGATCCTCTGGGATATGATTTTCTGTAATATCCCTAGTGGCGAAGGGTCTTGCTCCAATAAGTTACAGTCTCCTTTCCACACAAAATCAAATAAATGCCAAAGTGCCATTATGGTTTTAAAGAAAAACTATAGGCACCCAAACCACTTCATCTCTTTGAAGTCTGGGTGCACTCTCCCCGTCCTCCTTAGTTCTATACTCCTATAATCACCATTTTGGTGTTTTCATCAATTATTTCTGTCAGTTGAGATCACATTCCAATGCCATTTTGTTGGAGTCTAAATCTCTTGATTGCGATGTATCATGCATGCACGGCAGTGCTTTTCTAATTGGCAGCATTGCGAGTGCTGCAAATTTAATCTTGCAATCTCTCCAGTAGCGGGAATTTGTGCCACCACTCGGCAGAGTGTTAAATTTCATTCTGTTTTTGAATAGATTTACCTCGTTATTTTTGTTTCAATAGTTGTTACAACTTACCTGCTCCTTTTTGTGCCCCATAGTTTCATTTTGTGTTACATATTTCCTCAGACGAATATAGTTACTCTCTCCCTTTAAAACTATTTTATTATTTCAATTAAACATTCCCTGCAGGACCTGACAGATGTAAAATATGAACATATGCCTGAAGAACAGATTAAAGTTTTATTAGATGAATCTGTGCAAAAAATCTGTTCAGCAAGCTGTTTCATCAGCAGTGGCTAACATGCACGATAGACTTTGACTAAGTCTTTTTCCTTTGCTTTATCTCATTCTAAAGAGCATTTACATGCTAATATAACTATTTCCCCCTCAGAGAAAAATGATTCCTTAATTGACTCTGACAAAGATTCTATTGATTCTGTCATTCCTAGCAAATGTACTGTGAAATGCAAACACATTTTGGACGCTCCCTCCTCTTCTAAGAGGAGAAAAGGCTTACATGCTTTAAAGGGGCACTATAGTCACCAAAATAACTTTAGCGTAATGAAACAGTTTTGATGTATAGATCATGAAACTGCAGTCTCTCTGTTCATTGGGCCTCCTGTATGTAACTAAAATTCAACTTACAGAGCAGTAGATAAAAACTTTTTAAAGTTACATCTCATTGAAAATGAAACCATTTTGTTTTCATGCAGGCCATGTCAGTCACAGCCAGGGGAGGTGTGGCTAGGACTGCATAAACAGAAACAAACGTGATTACACTCCTAAATGGCAGAGAATTGAGCAGTGGACTTCAGAGGCACAATTTATATAACAAAACAGATTCATTAAGCTAAAATTGTTTTGGTGACTGTTGTGTCCCTTAAAGGACCAAGTTTTTGAAACTGATAAAATTCTGCTTTTACCAAGCAGACCAAAACAGTGGGCTAATAAATCACACACAAGACCCTCACCCCGGGACGAAGTATTATCTGGTGGAAAAACTTATTTCGGGCAGAAACCTGATTCGTATGATACTTTTAGCAGTGAGGATTTAGATAATCAGGATGCCATTCATATGGCTTATGATGTCTCTGATTTCTCAGAACAGGATGAGGATCATATCATTTTTCAAAACTAAAGAGGCCTCCTTCTTCTTACAGAGGAACATCATACCCTGTTTTTTTTCTCTGCTGCTATTGAGTAGTAAAGACAGTTAAAGCATAATACTCACCTCTTGTCTTTGCGACTTTATGTCACTAAAGTTAGAAAAATCTAGAATTTTTTTAATAAAGTATTATATAAGAGAGTTTTACTTACCTCCACTGGATAAGTAACTAGCTAAGCCCTGATACGTCATGTACATTTTAGATGGGACAGAAGGGTCGGGCACTGAATACTGAGCTGCCATCTCTGCACAGATGAGCCAGAACCTAAAATAAAGATATATTAAATATTTTATACACTGCATGCAATATTTTCTGGATAGGTATTTTTGGGGGTGGGGCGATGTGGGAGGGAGTCAGAGTTACATATACTACAGCTGTTGTGTTTGAGAACAGTCAGTTCTAATCTAAATTCTGAAAACACCAATATTGTAAAGTTTTATGTTTCATTTCTTTTGGTTTGTAAATACAGTATTTATCCAGTTTTCAAAAATCTCGGTTTTCAAAATATTACAACCATTTTCCCCCCATATTCTTCAATAGTGAGGTCTGCAATTCTATGGGACAGGTGTATGGAAAATATGGGTAGTTGTACAAATAAATTATTCATTTCAGTGTTCTCTAGTTACTGCATCATGGTATATTAGTGTCTTACCCAAACAGTTTAACTCTGCCTCTAGAAGATGCAGTCATCTTGCCATCTTCGTCCACTGTGTAATCAGCAGATATATTGTCTTGAAGAAACAGACCTTCTGGGTCTTTTTTCCCAATGGCATACCATTTTCCTCCATACTGGTCACAGGAATACAAAAAGAAAAGTTATGTTTACAAGAAATGCTTTAGAAAATTATCATTTTGTGATTTTATTTTTTGGAGAGATTCAACACATTGCAGAGCACACGTGAGAACATACAGTACATGGCCCATTTACAAATTACATGTTAGCATTGTAGGAATAAGACAAGTGAAATGGAACATTGAAAGAGTACAGAAGGGATTTGAAAAATAAATTTGTGACAAGAAAATTAAAAGCTGATATCTTTGTTGGAGGCAGAGGTGTAACTACAAACCACGCAACCCTGGTGCAAAAGTTGCCCTGGGCCCCCATCCTAGGTCTATCCCCCCTCCCCATACATCTACTCCCCGCCCCATATGTCTTCTTCTCCCTACCCCCCATATATCCATCCCCCTCCCCACACACACATGCAGACACACACATAGACACACACACACACATACAGACAGACACACACACACACACAAACAGACATACACACAGAGATACATGCACACACACACACACACACACACACACACACACATACAGAGAAACATACATACAGACACACATACACAAACACACATACATATAGAGACACATACAGTGACTTTCCCCTGCGGTGCAGTGGTGGTTCAGGCTGATGGGAGTCAGAGTTCCTACTCTGACTCCCTCTCCTTTCTCCCGCACTGCTCTCTCTAATAGCTGGGAGGAGTGACGGGACAATCACTTCCTCCCAGTGTCTGACGTCATCACAGGGTTGCACAACGTTGCAGTGCTGACCGGGGCCCCCTGGATATTCATTGCCATTGGGTGGCCCTAACAGCATGGACCACCCAATGGACCCCTTCAATGCGGCAGGCACCCAGTCGCAGGGGTCCGCAGGGCAGCCGGGCTCCCTGGAGTGATGGGCCCGGTCGCAGCTGTGACCCCTGCGACAGCAGTAGTTCCACTAGTGGTTGGAGGTAATCCAGAATAACATAACTAGTTAACCCAAGGCTTCCTCTTGCATAATATATGACCCTGTTAAAAACAAACACACACACAAAAAAAACTATATTCTACCAAACACAGAACCTCAATCTATTATATTGGCTGTAATTAGAGGTCACACCACCAATTTCACCCCAAACCCAAGCAGGCTTTGCAACTTGGGTAACTACTGGAGTGTTTGCCAATCAGAGGCAATACTCAACAATACTGCTCCTACTCCTGGATAAGCTATATCTAAATCCTAAAAGCCTGTGGTCTGGCCTTGCAGTAATAGAAATCAAAATAGCTTAGCTATTTACCACTAGTCCATCCATAAAACCCTTATGCTACTAAAAATTACTTTTACTTAAGATAGATATACATTAATATCACTATAATTTCAAAGAAGCATTGCAAGAGAGTCCTGGAACTCACCCAGTTTGGTATTCCAAATCTGGATATAGTGGTTTAAGTGGGCTTTAGTCCTAATTTCAGCTCTTTAGTTATCTTTTGTTTGGTATCTTTTGTTCTATGCTAGAAAAATTGGTTAATTCAGACTGATGTCTTAATGTGCAGTACTCCTCAGAAGGAACCGGCACTCAAAGTGGTGCTTTAGACCAGTGATTCAAAACCCCTTTTGAACAATGTACACTTCTACGAGAGATACATTTCCAACTTTTCCCCCAAATTTATCAGCAGTATACCCCAAAGAAAAACATGTATGAATTTAATTATGCATTTTTTAAATTGGGGATATATCTAAATATATCTTGCAAAAGCTGCAGATCTTTTGCAAGCCCTCTCCTTCTAACCTCACCCAGACATTATGTGGCTGTCCAGTTAGCTTAATGACTTCCTAATGCAGCACCATGAGAAGTCTTTGCAAAGCAAGTGCTCTGCACAATTGCAGAGTCTTCAGTTTAGCTTCACTGAGCTAACCAAACCAGGAGGTAACAGGACCAGTTTGCTGACTTGAAAGCCAGTGGTATAGCAAGGTTTAAGGGTTACTCCATCCACCATGACCACTTCAGTGATTTGAAGTGGTCATGGTGGTAGTAGTCAGTATGGATAGTGTTTCTGCTTGAAAAACTGCACATTCAGAGATATTAATTGTGTGCTGGGGGCTAGTTGCAATCACATATAACATTGGCATCCTAGACTTCTGTTCTGGACTGCCTAATGTCAATTCTGTGCATGAACTACATCTGTTGTCAGCACGCACTGCACGCTGACACCAGACGTGAACATCTTCCCCACCAGGCAGAGCGCTTGCAAGGGGAAGATAGCTCTCCCCTCCCCTCCCTTGCCCTCTCCCTCCCCCTCCAACATTGTGTTGACTCCCGCCTCATTCATTGCGCATTGGGCTTTTTTTAAAAGAAAGAATGGTAGTTCATTGCTGCTTTTACATTCAAAGGGAGCATCCACATTGTAGTAAACATTTTTTATGTAAATTTGGGTAATTTCACAATCATTATTTTTTAAATGTATTTAAAAGTAAAAACTCACCCTAGTTATGTCAAAGTTGTCCTTGACTTTAAATGATTCAACCACACAGGACTGAGCATTAATTTGTTCTATTATGGTGAGTACCACAGCTAACAAAACATACTTGTAATTCTTCATCCTAAAAGGAAATACATTGTCATCAATTAATGTTGAAGTTGAAGCACAGAAATATTTCGTACTTTTTCATGTTTATATATATTAATATGTATATATAAAATCATTGATGAAAATTAAGATAATAATTTGCTATACTTAAAATGGCATTCCGGGCTTGAATTGACTAATTTTCAATCGTAATACATTTAAAACACTGTAGTCATAACTAATAAAAGATTTTAAAAAAAATCCTGTTTTTCTTCCACTCCCCAGATATTACAATATTACATCATCACCGTTTAGCTTTGCCTGTTCTAGAAATTAGCTCAACCAATCAGAAGCCTCTCTTTCTATTTTGCTGAGTGAACTATTGAGCATGTTTATCCAAAATTGCCAGGCATAGCCCAAACTATTTGTCTCTTTTTGAAGACAGTAGAAATGAAACTGTAATTAGTCTACACAGTGGGGCATATTTCATATCAAAGTTTTCTGGAAGTAGGCAAGTAAATTCCATCATTTATTTTGATCATAGTTATTAAAATATTTTTTTTTTTCTATTGTAAATTCCACCAGCTTTCACTTAAATTTTGATTTCAGAACACTACCACATCTAAAGTGGTGGGAAAATTCTGTCACTTTTCTGTTGAAAAAAATAAAACAATGAAATCATTTAGAAATCTGGTGTGTTGTTATAAAGGGAATATTTGTATGGAATTTATTTTAAAAAATTGGAAATTGCTGCAAAAATTTGCAAAACAAATTAGAAGAAAAGTGTACTATACAATACAAGCAATACTTCATTGAAGACCTCTTGTTGATGAGCACTAGCCAAATTTCAATATAATCTGCTATAGCAGTCCTTTAAAAACTGTATTTCCTGTTTATCTCACTCATTGTAAGATATCTAGCTGGTGTACACAAATCAGATGTTCTACCAAATTTGGACTCACATGGAGATTTATAAACTTCATAGAGTTATGTTCCTTAATTAAATTCATATTTTTCTCCATCGTTATTTAATGTTCATTTTTATTTACGTGTGATAGACTTAATTGCCTTCTGGACTTCTTGAAAAATACAAGAGCCAGCTGCAATGCCACCCAGAAAAGGCAAAAAGGGAGCTGAAATATTAGCGTTGAATATAATAGCTTCATGTCGAATGGCAGATAGTGTACTCGAAAGAATAAAGGCTTTAATTTAATAAGCTTTCCAAATGATTCAATACTGTTAGAAAAACTTTCCAAGTGATTTATCTACAAAAGCCAATGGTAATTTTTGTAGATAAAAAAATTGGGAATTTTTATAACAGTATTGAATCATTTGGAAAATGTGTTAAATTGAGGCGAACATTCCTGAGGCATCAACTCGCACGCTATCCTCAAACATCTGACGCGATGCAATGTTTTAAGATATTTGAAATTAAGCTGTTTTAAAGCAGGAAACATGGCTTCATCAATACACTCAAGTAGCTTATTCTATGCATTCTATTTTAATCTCGACTTAACAGCCCAAACAGATTTCATTCTGCACCAACTCAAAGTAAGATTATCTCAGTTTGCCCTGGAACGGCCTACTCGTATTTTTATATTGTATCTCTTCCAGTGTGTGAAGACCTATTGATTAGTACAGTAGGTATCTTCTCAGTCCTCAGAATTTGACTGTGAATTTCAGGATTGCCTTTTCCATTACAAAGAGGATATTGGCAAAACCCAAACCACTGGAATGCTTGAGGGTTGGAAAACAGTGTCATAATTAAGCCAGCCCTTTTCTGGAAATATTGTCTATGTGCTATATTCAAAATGTACTCCAAAATTTTGCTTAAATATATTATAAGAAAGCAGCATGTAGATATAGCATGATGTCCAGCAAGGTCTCCTGAAGCAGAAAGTAGAGGACTTTCTGTAAAAACCTATAGAAGCCAGATTCACCAGAAGACCTAAGAACATATAAAACAATAGACCTTATATAAAAAATATTTTACAAAAGTCTTTAAAGTACATATAACCCCCTATAAAAATCTAAAGAAGAATAAGGACATCTCCAATCACTATATCAGAAATCATACCAGCTGTATTTCTAGCTAACATGATATTTAATAAAGAGAACAGGTATTGTAATGTAGGTAAAACATCTTGTATGTTACAATTTCCTAAGTTAAATAAATTCATAAAAAATAAAGTTGAATTTGAAGGAACTTACCTGGGGCTCTCTGTAGCACAATGATGTGAGGTGGAACTTGCAAGATTCAAATGGGCATAAATCCATGGATGTTTCAATATCTGTGCCTTAAATAATAAATCCACAGTCTGTTTAAGATGTTATTTTGGTCCCAGGCGTGCAGTAAGGTGATTAGTGGTTGATAATCCATTATATAAAATCTTGTAGTAATCCTTTCCTCTGATGTCTGCTTGTCTAATTATGAAAGAACCACAGCTCAAATGGATGTGGTACAAAAAACTCCAACATGTGTCCTTCACATGAGTTATAAAATAGTTCACCATATTGTTCTATCACACAGCATATATTGCAATCAAATTTATTAATACAATATTACTAATGCTCCAACCCAACATTGTAAACATTATACATCATACAACATTTATATCCAGGACTGAAGACTCACACAGATAATAGCACATTTCAAGTAATACAGAATATACAATCTAAAATAAATCAGATATTTCATATTAGAAACTTAAAGGGGACACTATAGTCACCAGAACAATTACAGCATAATGTAGTTGTTCTGCTATGTATAGTATGTCACTAAAGGCTTTTTAATGTAAACACTGCCTTTTGAGAGCAGTCACTCAGACAGCCAATGGAGGTACTTCCTGACTCAGTGCTGCACAGTGAGCTCTACTTGGAGGCGCTGAACATTTCAATTCATCTCTATGAGGAGCTGTTTATTTGCATAGTGTGGCGTTATTGCTGCACATGCGCATTAGCCTCTTAATGCCTTATGGATACGCAATGAATTTGGTATGCAACGAATTAGGCTATTTTTAACATTGTAGTGTCAGTGTCATTTAATAAGTAGTGATATATAACTATAGGTGCTTTAAACCACAGTTTTGAACAATAGTGGTTAACTTTGACAATTCAGATATTTGTGAAATACATTTCACATGATGCCCAAAAAAACTCTTAGATTTCCAGACAATGTGAAAATAAACCATGTCAAAACTTGCCTTACATAGCTGGATCTGTTGTAAAAAGGTAGAATATAGTACAGTCATTCCTTGATTTAGGTACATTTAAAATTCATCCAGATCAAGTTTGAGTCAGTTTGGTAAGTTAAGGAGAAACGTGAATATAACAAAGTGCTTTCGTAATTTATCCTCCTAATTATGCCGATATTTAAAATATATTACAATAGCTTGTAAAAAGTCATGTATCACTGGTATTGGGAGTTATGAAGATAAGACTGTAGGGACAGTGAGAGTGTGATTGTACCAGTAAATAATTTATGTCACAGAAGGGGGTGTTCCTGCAAGATGTGCTCCCTACGTTGTTTCATGTAAGAAAAAACTGATAGTACTTTTGGTCCAAAGGAAACATTAGATCCTGGGCCCATTGAAGAACATTGTACCCTACACCCAACCCTTTTAAGTGTCTTTCCTTAAACCACATTCCCTTTTTTTTTTAGAGTGACTCTTACTAATACCCCTCATATATTTGAGATATACTTGTGTGCAGAGCGCTATGCAAAGACTCCACTCAAAAGATAATAGTTTACAATCCCCAATGTGGCCTTGTTGGTTAATGATCATGGTTACCATCAGTGGTGTTCAGCCAATACCCAAGTTAGGGACACGATTGAAAACTGGGGTCCGTATAGCAACCTCTTTAATTGTATGTATTTGGGGAGAATGAGGTACCTTACCTAACTGGACTACATTGTCAGCAAAGTGGATGGCTTGATGGCTATCACACAAACGGCATTGTTGGAAGGATGTGATCTCACATAACATCCAAGCAGCATTGCTATGTGCACACTCAGACTTGCACAACAAAGCAGATGAGGATTTGAAAAATTGAGAAGGGAATTGGTGCACGGTAATAACTGCCATGAGATAGAGAGGGATGGAGAAAAAATATTTGCAGTTAAGTGGGGAGAGGTACACAGGGCTTTTTGTTTTTAGAGTTTTTGTTAGAATTGAGGTGGCTTTAGTGTGAGCCTTGATGTGTTTAGCCTGATCATTCTTGGCCAATTTCATTAATGTGTTTTTCTCTTTAGAAAGGGGTATATCCTTGAATGACCACTTTGCAAGTATCCCAAAAGAGCATTATGTTGCCTAACTGGATTAAACAATTACTCTTCAGGTACAGTCTGAAGCTGTCACCATGACATAGTTAGTCGGGAATTTCCAATTAATGGATTTCGTAAGTGGAGATTTGAAGCTCAGGTCAATTAAACAGGCACATTATCAGAAATGATCATTTGTGAAATAGTCTACTGTTTGTGAATGTGTTATATGAAAGTGAAGAGAATGTATTGTTTTTGAGACACCTGTAGGCATTTACCGTAAACAGAAATCTATATTCCTTTACCTAGCACTACTGATCAGGATCTGAAGACACGACCTGTTATTTCTGGTTGGAGAAATGCAAAACGTAGAACATTCAATCCAGGTTATTTACAAAATGGTAGGATATTCTCAGCGCATCTTATGCAATAAAGTAATTTAAATTAAATTGGTTGAAATGGTACCATATCTTTTAGTTATCTGAGTAAATTTAGGTCATTAATGACTGTCCTCCATGAAAAAGAAATGTATTTCTTGCGGAATTTCAAAAATTGGACAACATAACGATGGTGTTGAGCCACGACCCAGGAGGGAAGCTTAGCGATCCTACTGTGGTGGGGAGCTCATGGAAGATTGTTGGTGGATTGTTTTTGTTTGTTTTAATTTGTAATAAAAATCTGTTGGCTTTTTTTAACGTCATACTCTGCCATAAACCTTTTTTACTTATTTTATTTTTATCATCATCTTCTATTACCTGACATCCTGCTTTTATTTCTCCAGTGAAGATCTCACCAAGAATCCCAGGTAGGGATTACAGCACCTACGCTGTATTAAGTGAGCAGTGTTACCTGCACAGGAATATGTGAGTATGTTTTACCTAGTATTACTCCTGGTACTTTTAATTTACACAGTAAGCACTATTGTTGCTCTTTTATTTCTGTTTTCGGTCTGGCACTCATCCCATGATAACATCCTCTCACTTCCAAGATATCCTATACATAGACTTGCTCACGGGGTGTGCCTGGGCACACCCTAATACCCACGGCCCGCGGCCTGCACTATGTGCCTCCATGGGCCAGTGAGGGAGATCAAAGATCTCACAGGCAGGGAGGGAGGCAGGAGAGGACCTGGGGAGCTCTAGTCAGCAGCTCCGCCGGGCTCCTCTTGCGAGGTTGGAGCATTGCCACGGCGTAGGGTCGAGATGGGACCGAGGTCTTTCCACCGATATAGCAGGGAATTGGGAGCCTGAGCTCCATTCCCCAGTGGCATTACCCATTGTGTATTACCCATTGTGTAAGGGAATTGAGTTACAGGGGGCAGAGACATGTGGTCCTGTCCCCCAGCGGCAGTGTTCCTTGCAGGGAGAGGAGAGCAGCGTCCTCCCTCCCCAGCGGCAGGGTGAGCTACAGGGATGCTGGGCAGTCGGCTCAGATCCCCAGCAGCAGTGTGAATTGCAGGGAATTGGGAGCCCAGTCTCCATTCCCCAGCAGCAGGCTGAGTTACAGGGGACAGAGATAGTTGCTCCTGTCCCCCAGCAGCAGAATGAATTGCAGGGAATTGGGAGCCCAGTCTTCATTCCCCAGCGGCAGAATGATTTATTGGGAATTGGGAGCCCAGTCTCCATTCCCCAGTGGCAGAGTGTCCTACCGGGAATAGAGAGCCCAGTCTCCTTTCCCCAGCAGCAGGACTCTGTATTGGGAGCAGAGACAGTCGGTCTCCCTCCCCCGCGGCTGGAAGTATGTATGGGAGAGGAGCTTGTTACCCCCTCTCCCCAGCGGCAGCTTAATGTACCAGGGGGAGACAGTAACAACTGTGCAGATGGGACCGTGGTCTCTGCACGTCCAGCACAGGGGGTAGGGACGGTCGGTTCTGCCCCCCAGCGACAGGGCTGTTTAGCCAAAGGGGAGACAGTCAGTCTCCAGCAGCAGAGCTGTGTGTCCAAAGGGGAGACAGTCGGTCTACAGCAGCAGGGCTGTGTGCCTAAAGGGGAGACAGTCGGTCTCCCCCTCCAACAACCAGGCTACCCTCCCAGTAGCGCTGGCAACAGGGCAGAGTACCGCTGGTCTCTGCCCACGCAGCAACCCACCAAGTCAGCATACCCGTACCCAGCACAGCCGTGGTGAGACACCTGGACATGGACAAGCTTCTCCTCTACCCAGGTGTAGTAACCTTTTATTGTGGGTGGGCTGTGCTGTTGATTGTGTTTTGTGGGTGGGCTGCTGGACTAACAAGGGCACTGACCGGCAGGAGGTCAGATACCCTGTTAGTCTGTTTGGAAAAGGGGAGAGATGTGATGAGAGCAATCTCGCCACATTGCATTGGAGAAGCCTGGTTGCTCGCCTGTTGCCTTTGGATTATGGCCCCATGTTAAAAGGCTTGATTTTTCCCCTGCAAAGACAAGAAAGCCGGGTCATTTGGTGCTTGCCCTGTTTGAGCAGTGATACACCAGATAGCTATGCCATGGAGCCCATTCGTATAATGAAAGACTATGGGAAAGACTTTGGCTCCATGGCAATTGAACTGTATGTGTGTGCTCTGAGCGCCATTCAGTAATAATGTGCGCTCAGACCTAAACTATCTGGGCATATGTTGCATGTCTGTATTTTATGTCATAAATGTAACCTTGTGCATTTTATTGTATTTTACTGTCTTTTTGCTGCCATGTGTTCAATGGAGTTTTGCCTCTGTCTTTGGAGATAATTGGATTACTTCTAATTATCTCCAGGATAGAAGACTCTGTGGAACTGGTTTTGGGCAGAAAAGCCATGCTTCCGGTGGTCACAAAGACTACGATCTAGCTTTTGAACCACTGGACCAATTTGTATGATTTTGACGTATGTTTGTATTTGGAGTATGCTGATTCTGAAAATTTTATGTGAATGTGATGCATACTTTTCAAGTTATGAATAATGTGGAAAAATTGTATTTCTCTGCTTGTGCTAAATTACATTACCCATTGTGTAAGGTAATTGAATCACATGCAGAGGGGAGGAATTTGTGTGGTAGTGTCTGAGTGTATTGTATGTGTTTATTGGTTGTGTTCCAAAACCCTGTGGGTGGTACTAATGTGTAAGAATGTGTACATAAGCACAATAAACCCACAACTCTGTCTGTTCACTGCTTGACCCTCAACACGGAGCTTTGTCTCATTCTTGGGGGGATTTATTGTATGCTGTTCCAGTTCGACTGCTAGGAGTGTAAACCTATTCGTATGGTTTTTCCTATTCAGCGATTTACAGCATTCATATGGTTTCCTGTTCGGCGGATTGGTGTTCTGCAGTAGCTGTGCCTGCATCTCTGGAAAGGGGGACGATCGCCTAAACGGTTTTTACCCCTTATGTGCAAAACGGTCCGTTACAATGCGCAATACACCAGAGCTGGCTAAAGCTCTAGGACATGTGAGTAGACTGGAATTCTTTTAATCTTTTATCATTTTTTTGTGGATTTATTACACTATTGGAGTTTTTTTTATTTCATTGTTTTATGAATCCTGAGTGTCCCTGGTGACCTACTAGCCTAAGAAGGAAGATACCATAAAGAATCCTCATTCGCCTTCAAGATTTTTATTTTTGGGACTGCTGCTAATTTCTCTTTGGGTACCTGTTTCGTTATCACTTGTGTTTTTTTAAGTATTTTATTTTTATCTGTTTCTATTGTATAATATCTTATCTGACTCATCCTTGCCGCACCCTTCCTTCCTTTTTTCATTTTTCTTTTTTCTATTGTTATAAGGAGCTGCTCCATCTCCCCTCTTTTGTATCATGGAAGCTCTAGTCTGCATCTCTGGCTGATGCTGCCTGAATATATTACTCCTGCAAGTGATTACGGCAAAGCTCTGATACAACCACAATGCTGGAACTCATGAAAGGCATGCTGTCAGCCTGCACTTGGCAGAGATTCAAGCTAGGGTCTCTTACATCTGGACCACCAGGGCTGTTCATGTACACCCTCCCAGTTAAAGAAACAGGGAGGGTAGAATAAACTTTTCTTAATTTAAAAAAAAATTTATATAAAAATTGCTCTCCTGACAGGCATTGTGGCGAAACCGACCTCGCCACTGGGCATTGGAGAAGACTGATTGCCAGCCTCCTGCCATGTGACTATGGCCCCTGGGATGTATTGCCCTTTAAAGACATGATTTGGGCATAATGGATTTGTGTTGTGCTGCTTCTAGCCCTTTAAGAACCATCTGGGGACATACTGTGGAGTTACTGGGTGGCCACCATTTCATGTATCAGAGGCACATGGTGAGAACAATGGATGAATCACATGGTGAGAACAATGGATGGCGGCCATTTTAACTCACAGACACTGTTTGGACTTTTCTACACAGTGCCATCTCGCCGGTATTTGGTGCACAAAGACATCATGCAGTAGTTTTAAACTATACAACAGGGGACACATTATACAGTAATTATTTTTCATATAGCCTGTATATGTTCTGTAGAATCTGCATTAAACTGTATCTTCCAAACTACTGAACGTATCTGGGTGAATTTTGGATATGTGGTTCACCCAGATCCCCCGGTTCCGATGATATACATATTTTTATGGGGTTATTGCATGTTTTGGGGTCCCTGTGATATGTTTTATAATACTGTATTTCTCTGCCTGTGATAATTATTAACCATTGTGTTCAGTAATCATATCACAGGCAGAGGGGAGGATTTTGTGTATAATTGCTGGGAGTGTTTTCTGTAATGTACGTGTGTTATTGGCTGTTCTGTAAAACCCTGTGGGCAGTACTAAATTTGTGGATTGGGAATAAAAGAGGCTATATGTGCCAGTACAGTCAGTTCTGCTTGACCTCAAAACGAAGTGTCGTCTCATTATTGGGGGAATTGGATTGTATGCTGATTGCCAGGCGTGTAAGCTGATTGTATGCTTTTCCTGTTCAGCTGCTTACAGCATTCATATGCTTGAGAGCATTCGTATGCTTCTCCGGTTCGGTGGTTATGGTGTCTGCTGCAGTGCTTGGAGTCCTCAGGAAGCGCTAGGAGCATCCTTCAATGGAGGAACCCAGTCGGGGTGCCAGGTGATCCGTTACAGGCATACATGATTCAAAGCTGCTATTTCACCCTGTGGCAAAACTAAGAGTGAGCTGTGGGTGCATATGAACTGAGCACTGGATGAAGAGAGGCACCGCCGCCAGAGCTGGGTTCTATGGGTCCCTGTCTGACCCTGGAGCTCCTGCTCTGATTAGGCTTTCTACTTCAAGATGGCAGGAAGATCAAAAGATCTCCCTTCATGGCCATTTAGAAATAATTCCCTGGTAGTTCGTAGTTCCTTGCAGTTCTGGTGAGGTAGACAGAGTCCCCCAGTCTGTGCTCTGACTTTCTCACACAGCTCCAGACAGGAAGGCCTGCAACTGCACCACCAGCACACTGGACCATAAGGGAATCCACTGGACCACTAGGGAATGTATTATTGCCCCCCTTTCTGTCCAAGAAGAGGGCAAATGTTATATATAGACTTATATATAGTCTACAGCATCTCCGCACACTATCACTCACCCACATCCTTGTCACCCCCTCATTCACATTGTCACAATAACTCACCACCCCTCACTCTATCATACTCATCACCAACCTTGTCACACTCACCAACTGGCCACACTAACCCTGTAAAACCATCCATCATCTTACCACACTCAACCATCTTATCTATCACACTCCACGCTATCCCTGTCACCCTGTCACACTAACTCCCTCGCCCTATTACACTCACTCCCCTCACCCTGCCACACTCACACTACTCACCTTGTCAGCTTGTGTAGTGGAATTAACATGTGGATATTACCCTTTATTCCCTCTATGGGCTGTCCATATCCTTTCCCCTGCTATTTCGTATGTTTGTTTTTACTCAGATTTCGTGTGTGGGACAGATCACATTGTCCTTGGATTATCCTACTATTTGCCTTGGTTGCATGGTGGTTCAGTAAATAGCATTCACCTCCCCTACTAACAGTATTCTCTTCGACAACCGAACAAATCACCGAACGCCAGGCCACCCATATGTGGAGTGTGCCGCTTGTTAACCCCAGTAATCTTCATTCACACCTCCACAAACCGCAATAACACTTACATTCTAAGCGGTCGGCTGGGAGGCCGCCGTTCGTATGTGTGAACATGTGGCAGCGGCCATCTTTAACCACGAACAGAGACAGCAGTGTTTGGTCTTTGAGTGTATGGAATTAAAATCATACACTCGATGGCACAAACACTGCTGGGACTTCCACCCCCGGTTATGTTAGTCGGAATTCATACGAACTGAGTTGTTGTTCGGGGGGAGCAGACTCCCGAACAAGATACATGGAATGAGCTTACACACGAACAGTTTATTCGTTAGCTTTCATATGTTTTGTACATATACATATACATGGGAGATTTTCCTTTATGATCATATAAACCTTCGCTTTCTTGAGGCTTAATAATATTCTACTGTATTTAATGTAATAACTATATACTATTTTGCTGGTTACAATGTTACCTAAAAATTACAATTTATGATCGCATTGTTTCTCCATAATAATGATACTACTTTTGTATTTAATTATTTATTCATCTGTTTTTTGTTATATATTCCGCTTAGGTCTCTCTAGTACTGTTTTTACTTTGACCTTTTTTCCTTTTATTCTTATTTTGACTTTCATTATTTACTCCGTGATGAATGCCCAATAGGCTCCCCCCCGGTCTCCTCCTTTTATTTTAATCGGATATGTAATCTCCTCGGGCTTGTTCACGCCCCTCTCCTCCGATTGGCTCTGACACTTAGGGGAGTATTATGTCACTCGTTCGGGTCTAGGGCCTCTAATTGGAGGATTCTCTCTGAGGGGTGTGTACTTACCCCCTTTATAAACGACCCCTTTTGAACATGTCAGTTTGCTCTTGATAAAGGCGTATTGAACAGGCTGAAACGCGCATCGAGCTGCGAACAGCCGATGCTGTGATTTTATTATTTTTTCATATATTTACCTGGGTTCCCACGGTGTCTCTTACCTACTTGATTCATTTCTATTCATAAGCTTTTCTGGGACTTTGCTAGGCTGCCACGAAGCAGCAGTTAGAGGGATATGTTTGGGCTAGATAGTCTAACATAGGGTTTATTAGGATCCCTGATGAAGTTGGGAGGTTCTCTTTTTTGCAATTAGACCCTATGCCGTTCTGGTAGCCTTACCTGGTTTAGTACATCGTTAGTTTTTGCCTCTTACCACTGTGGAGACCCACTTTATGTTGGGCCCCACAGAGGCTATGGTAGTCTTCTCTTATTAGATTCAACTAAGGGAACGTGATACTACTATTTTTGCAGATTTTCATTTTATTATTTTTCTCTCCTCCTTTTTCCCCCTTTACTTACTCTATTGAGAAGTCTTTAAATCTAGCCCAGGCACCCTCTTTGTATTTTTCAGCATATCTTTTTTTCCCTGTGATTGCTGCAGCAATTTTTTCCTTATATCTAATATATTTTTCAAGTGTATAATTAGACCGTGATGCTATTTATTATTTATTTAGTCTATTGAGGAATTTTCACCTTGTTTTTTCAAAGACAATTATACTTTATGAATTTCCTCTTGTAACAAACCACCTCTTTTACAGGTAGGATTGTCACCGATCTTGCAGTAACCACAGCCTTCTAGGGTATACAAAGTCCAGGACACCTTCAGCTCAGTTTTCCTTTTTATTCAGTAAGAAAGCAGGTACTTTAAATAATAACAAAACAAACAAAATCCCTTGCTCTTACTTGAGCTCTTACTAGACAGTAATTGCTATCTGCAATTGGGTGGCTTTCCCACTTACCAATTTTCCAAACAAAAGCAATGTCTTTGCAATAAACACAATCTCTCCTAGCTGTCTTTTTCTCCCTCACTCTGCAGCAGGCTGCTCTCTTCTTTTAAAGGCCTGTCTACTAATTGAGTAGCTACAGGTGAGTGCCAATTAGTTAACTCTTAAAATCAGATCCAAGCTGTGGTCTGTTATACAGCAACTAGTGCTGTTGGAGCATTGGCCCACCCTGCTCTCCAAATACTCCGCCCCAGGGACCCATACCATGTTTTGCAGAGCATCAGCTATGCATATTGCAAACTTTAACATCTCTCCCTGGGGCATTTAACTGAAAAATCCTCTGGTTGCTGTTTAGCAAATCAGGTCTGATGTATCTCCCATCAACCACTATTCCACCTTTACGCTCACACTCTATAATACTAACTACTAAACTGCTTTGAGCTTAGTGTACCCAGGCTTTTTAATAGGTGTTGGCACTTCATCACTTTCACTTTTTCTTGGTATATTTAATAGTATTTGTGTTCAATAAAGATTTTCTTATTTTATTTTATGTGACGTTTGACAGAGGTATTTTCTTATGGGTTGGCATTTCCACCTACTTTTTGTGAGTGGATCTTCCACCCCATTCTTTTTCTAATTAATTTATATGTTAATGATAAATAAAAAATATGGAAATCTACTAATTGTATTTTTTTCTGAAGTAGCTGAAAAATAATAAGTTAAATTTCTGTTTTGTGCTTACTTCCTAAACCAGCTATACAATTAAAATGAATGTGAAGATTAAGGGAGGTGAAGTAGGATTTGGGAAGATTGGAGAAGTTTTACTGTTAAACTGAGGCTCTGTCATCTTCTTAGTATTCAATGAAATCTAATCTTGATCCTATGCTATGTACCATGATATCTCAAACCTTTTTAACAGCCTCAATAAAAGGTGTATGCAAATAAAAATAAATGGGAATCTTATTTTTCTAACAAATGAACTTTTAGTATAAACAATGTTAAAAGAACACTTCACTGCCCAAATAAAAACTTAAATAAATTAATACAATCAATTTTTGATTGAATTTAATTTAAT